TATGAGTAGCGGACCTTTTTTCTTGGTTATGACTAGCGAACCTTATTCCTTGTGGTCCTTTTATTAAATTATAACTAGTGACCCCTTTTCTTGATTATGACTAGCGAACATTATGAATAGCGGTCCTTATTTTTTATGAATAGAGAACCATTTTCTTCATTATGAATAGCGACCCTATGGTATAGGGTAAGCTAATGTTATGAATAACCATGGCGGTGTACCTCCATGGAATAACGAACCTTATGAATAATTAACCTTATGAATAGCAAACCTTATGACTAGCGAGTTTGACCCTTTCGTAGAAGCGGTTTGGCGCAGCGGGAACGGTTTGGTTTCCCAACCTCGAGGTCGGGGTTTCAATCCCTCGCTGTGCATTTCGCTTGTGTCCTTGAGCAAGACACTTTATCTGCATTGCTTCTCTTCACCCAGGAGTATAAATGGGTATCTGGTGGGGTTGCCTGCTCCTGCGCTGATTACCAGCAGCAACACTTTGCATGTGGACCCAATGACCAGGGAAAGGAACTGCGCTTTATAACCGCAAGAGGCGCATTATAAATGCCCGCACCAGTACCGATCCAGCACGCGCCTACCGTGTGTCAATTTGCTTCACGTGCAAAATAGCTGCTGGCCACTTTCTTCGCTATAACATTATTATTTATTAAAGTAAGAAAAATCAAATGGACTCAAACATGTTTATTACACATGCGCAATATACACATACATGATGTGTATGTTGATTTCTTGAGTATATCATAAGCACCCAACGGTATTCAGTCATGTCCATGACAACAAAACCCAAATACTAGCTTTTAATGTAAACCATTGTCTAGACAGTGGTTGCTGTGATAAACCTATGCCCTGATTCTGATACAGTCTGAGATTGTAGTGTTAGCCAAAGCATTCCAAACAGAAAATCTAAATCACATGCTATTCGTGTCCGCTGTAAGTGACCATTATGACCGAATATAATCATACGGCCTAATAAAAGAACTGTGGATCAGAAAAAGTAATCAAATCATGATCAGGGATGAAGAGGCGTTTTGGCTTATCCCACACAATACGACGACAACAAATTTCTGAAAGCCAAGGACTCCGCCAATTTAAATTAGTATAACTTGTAGAGGGCGCTACATTCCACATGGTGACGTCACACAAAAGATACGGTATTTTTACTGAGAGTACAGTATATCGAAATGTAATATATAATGGCTATTTCTTAGTTTTATAAAAAATGAATTTAATAATCTAACAGATAATTGTTATTCCAGCTTTTGTGTTTGGACCACTGGATCATGATTTCATCTTCGACACAAATAGTTTGTATTGCATTTTTGTTGAATGGAAAGATAAATAAAATATTAAATACTATTAAATAGTCTAACGCAAGCAGGTTTCTGCATCAAAAGCTCAGCATTTCCAAAAAGACTACTTTCCACAACATACTTTGTGTCTCTGAGATCAACAATCAATATATAACCTGAAATGTCTCGGTGTACAGTTTCAATGCCAGCATCGAGTCTCCAAGCTTATACTATGACCTTTTCAGTTTCCCCCGGGTGAAACACATCAATTCAACTAGTATTTTGTAAAGCAGTGTTACAGCACTTAAACAATTTAAGACATTTAATCACACAAATGTATGTCATTATGTTTTATTCAGCTTTTTTTTTTTTTTTTGCTGTTTTTTTGAATTATTTTTTTTATTTGCTACGCTTAATGACGGTAAATTAGGTCAGTTTCATTGTGAAACTTTAATATATGACCGGCTTTTAAATAGGTTGACAAAAGGGTAGGTGCGTATGTATGTCATAAGGATGCATTGTTCTATTTACATGCTGTTTAAAGGATTTTTGTTCTTTTATAAGTTAGGCCTATTTTACGCTTATGGATTTTAAAAGTGCTTTTAAAATCTTTGACCAACTAGCCCACGAGTTATTACAAAAGAGTTTTTGAGAGTAACTATCCATATGGCTCCCAGGGATTACCAAAAAATCTTTGGGGAGCTTCTACCTTTGGACAAGAAATTATGACTCTTTATATGAAGGTATAATAGATCTATTTTGAATAATTACCGTATAACTCATACAGTGTTTTCAACGTATTTTATTCTTGGTTCGTATGTTTTTTTTTTTAAATATTATTATATTATGTGACTATAATTTTCATAGTCGGGCCGTATAAAACAACATGCAAAAATGTAAAAATATTGATTGGCCCAGCTGTTTTTCGGCCACTCACAGCCCGCAGTAATTAAATCACAGACGAATATGATCGGTACTGTAACGTTTTGAGAATTTAAACAATTTAAGGAGTAACATTATTTTGGTTGTGATATATAAAAAATTCATAATAATAATAATAAATAATAATAAATAATAATAATAACAATAAATAACAATAATAATAATAAATAATAACAATAATAATAATAAATAATAACAATAATAATAAATAATAATAATAATAATAATAATAATAATAATAATAATAATAATAATAATAATAATAATAATAATAATAATAATAATAATAATAGATAGACACGTACCAATAAGAGTACTTGCATCTAGTGGAGTTTCATAGCTCCCACAAATGTCACGATTGTTGACATGTCAAATTGAAAGTTGGCATGTCAATTCACATCGAAGATTCTAAACTTTTAAAATTTTAGGACATTGAAAAATTTAACATTTGACCTTAGATATAGTACTCTTAAAATATACTTTCTAGAGACATGGAAATAGTGGAATTTGATGCAGAACCACTACTTCCTATTCCATTTTAATAGAAACATTTATCTTAAACTCAATACTGCAAGTTATTTATACACTAGCACCGGTCCTATCATACGAACAGTAACACTGAGAAATCTATAAATTTTCAGCATTTAGAATCAGTAACCTATAACAGTACATCGTCTTTACAGAAAGAAGTCCTTGTGTGAGGGGTCCTGGAACTTCATTACTTCGCAATTAAGAGATAGTCAATTTCAATTACTATAACTCAAGTCGGAAGCCTTTTTTTCTATTGCTTAATGCAGCAAAACTGAGGGCCTGTCTCTTATACACATCTAAGTCCATCAATCTAACCAAGCTTTTGAACGCACGCAACGGATAATTTTAAGGACGATTTACTCAGACTTCCATCGACAATAACAAGAGTGTTGAGGGGGTCGATCGAAAAAGGAATATGGACGTAAAAGAACATCTGGCACATTGTCTGAAGTTTTTATCATAGCATGAATGTGGAATTAAGAGTTGAACTATGTATGGCTATATGGTGACCTCCTGGTTCTTCACTTGATAAAGTCATCATTGTCTACACTATCAAATTTCATCAAGTGTTACATAAAATGTGCTGGAACATAAGAGTTGAACACGTTCAACTTTTATTAATACAATTTGATATGTGATATGACATCGTTGTACCCATTATATTGATACATTTTTTGTCACATAAAAGTTGATAGTGTTCACAAAGCTTTAGAGAACCCATTCAATGTTTTCAAAATTTACTTTTTATAATTGGATGTCGATGTTCTAATGAGCATAATCGTAGCTAATGTCTCCAAAGAAAGAAATCGGTTCTTGAAGAGCTTCTCGTAGATATCTCTCTGAATGACAGGACGGGTGTAAATGTACATATGCATGGAGTAAAAAGTGAATAAAAGGTGGTAGTTTTGCAACATTTGTCACTACAGTATTTTCATGTTTATAGGATGTATATTTAAAAAGTTATAGAACTTATAGAATTACTGAAAGTCAAATTTAAACGTTTTTTTCTCTAGTTTAACTGTTCACTGAAATGGCAGAAGCTGGTGTGTAAATAACTCGCAAAGTATTGAGTTTAATGTGTATGTTGCTATTAAACTTAAATAGAAAATCGTGGTTCTGCATCAAATACCACTATGAGAAATCGGGCTATGCCACAATGTCCTCAAATCTTATAATGTTTAAACCTTCGACTAGTCGACGTGCAAAATTGTAATCTTCTACCCCAAGTATTATGGGTCTAAGAAACCCTAACAATCTATGCTGTCGAGGTGGAATGATAATAAAAAATAACAATAATATGCTAAGAATTGTATAGCGCCTAATGCCAACAAAGCCTCTAATGCTTAACATTATTACCCGTGACTTAATTTGTGGGCGGTTCGTTTCGTTGGAAAGTAGACCCTTTGGCTTGTATGATCTCCGATACTCTGGAGAACAATGTAAATATATCTATGAATATCAAATTTCTGTTTTTAAATGCGGACCTTCTCCCGTTTTTGGGCGGTTGGTCGTAACCCCTTGACACCCCCCCCCCCAACGCTACAGATCTGGGATCAAGCACATAATTATGGAACACATATTCAGCTCCCTGGGATGAATTCTATATATGTTGCAGCTGTATTGAGTGTTTTTTGAACCTACTACTGGGTAGAGAGAGACAACTCCATAGGTAAAGTGCCTTGCCTATTGGACACAAACAAAACAGTGAGGGATTGAACCTCAGACCTCAAGGTTGAGAAACAGAACTGCAACCTTTCCGGCAAACTCCACACATTTAGAGGTGTATATGCCTATTTGCAGAATTATTTATGTATGCTTAAAGCACGTCATGATTACTATTAGGGTTTATATGGCAAATTTGTGTAAATTGTAGGGCATGATAATGCGATAGTCATATCATGTAGGTTGGAAAGATTATGCCACATAGTCCATAAAAAGATGATTTTAAAAGGAAAAAAGTATAAACAAAAAGAATAAAAATTACAGGTGAGCTTTTTTAATTTTTAAAAATTTTTGCTATTTTCATATACTGTAAAATAAATCGTGTTTCGAATTTCCAAATGATTTAGTTGAAAATTGATGTGTTTTTAGAAAATGTAGGCCTACAACATAGTAAATATTTTAATTACTATTGTCCAATTGTATCAACAATGTATCATTATCATTGGAAAAAGATAGTCTATGTTGTAAAACAATATTATACAGGTATACACACTTAGGAATATATAAAAAGGAAATATGATAGTTTACTAAAATATATAGTAAAATATAATTCATGTTTAAGGTACATAAAAACACCATTATACCATTAGAAATTGAAAGGTTATCTGATATTTAATACACATTTTTTTAGGTAAATGTACTGTAGTATCAACTGTTGAGTATAGCAAATAGATGAAGGACTTAAGAGGGGAATCCCCTTCCATCATATAGTACTGTAGCCAACAGCTGTCAAGTCCTTGTGTGAGGGGTCCTGGAACTTCATTACTTTGCAATTAAGAGATAGTCACTTTCAATTACTATAACTCAAGTCGGAAGCCTTTTTTTCTATTGCTTAATGCAGCAAAACCGAGGGCACTAATGCAGGTATAGTACTTGTAAATAGAAGTTCGCTTATTAGATTAAATTTTAAAAAAACCCCTCTCAACTATTATTAGCATCTTTAGTTTTTTAAATTTTATATACTGAAAATAAACATTCTGTTCTCTTGTTATCCTCTTTCTTATGTATTAGGGATTGCTGAACCTACAGTAGCAGATTTCCAACCATTGTATAAAGTCAAGAAAAACATATGGCAGTGCAAGTATGGTCTGTTGAGCAAATATCATTAAATGAAAACAGTGCAATTTTAGTTCATTAAAATAAATTAATGCAAAGTTAATAAGATTTATGGAATCACTGCTTAGTCCTTCTCTATTTTTGTATCCACTACTGGAGGGTGCTCTCAAGACTGGTCAAACAAACGGATGAAGCTGTTGTTTTCATTACTGTTGATGTGGGATGGGATGAAGTCACAATCTGCTATCCAAACACCAATTTCAGTACTATTGTAACAGCATTTACAAATATTAAGGGAACTGTGCAAAGAATAAGACAACAAAATAAGGTTAATTGTGACAAATTACTATGTATCATAAGGCATGTTCAGACGAGTCAGAAGTAAGCTTCAGTTTACTTGTCATAAGACCTGGCAAGTGCCCATGAAGACGCTGTTTGTATTATTAAGTTACTTCAACCTTACTAGAGATGATTAACTCCTGAGCAGCCTCAGGAGTAAGTGTGCAACTTCCACGTACACAAGGAAGATAAAGAATACGCTCTCGGAGTAGCGCTGTGTAGATGCACTTACTTCAGAGCTTGCAAGTAAATGTGACCTTTGTTTTGACCTCAATTATTTTCAAAAGATAAATACAAATGAGTGCGAAAATAACATTTTCTGTGATGTGTAAGCCTTTGTAGACACGATGTTTTCGTAATTGTTTACAATAAAAAAAAAAAAAAAATATGTGCAAAATAACCATAAAGAGACAGCGAAGTGGTGACTATCACTTTTGGAAAACTTGCACAGTTTAACTGAAAGCTTTTGAACTAATTGTCCTGGGTATAAACATTGTGTGGACACTCGTCGGAAGTAACATGCATGTAAAATTTTACGTTTGTCATAACTTTTACTTTAGGAGGAAGGTCGTCTGAACATAACTATACACAACAATAATACAAATTAAAGATAAAGAATTCGGTGATACAAATAAAGATGGTAGTGAAAATAAAAATGGAGTGGATCAAGATTATGAAAAACACAGTAATACAATATTAAGACAAATCTTGGTAATGATAACTTTCGATGATGATACTGATAATGATGACAATGATTATATTATGATGATAATGATTGACAATAAGGACAATGACGATGACAATGATGATGAAAATGATGGCGATGACGATGTGCTGTATGAACAAATTATACACCTTATAAGAATATCAAAATAAATAATAAACAACTTAAGAAATTGTAAATAAGTAAAAATACTTATTTAATCAGAAATAATATTATATCATTATTTTTTCTAAATCATTAAATTTATTAAGATTCTATGTAAAAATACTTATTTATTATTATTACCTAATGACATTTAAATTTTAATTAATTAAATTTAAAATACAAAAATACAAGGTTATATGTCAATTTAATATATAAAAAAGTCCTATATAAAGTGGTAAAATTAATAGAAAATGGGAATGTGAAAAAAAAAAATTGAATTTATTCTTTGGATTTTTTCAAAGATTATACAGTAAGTGTATGTGTCATGTGTGTGTTTTGATTGTTCTTACCTCTCATTACTGTCCGAATGGATTTTATAAGATTAATAAGTTGTACTTTCATTCCAGGCTCCTCACCAAAACCCCCTGTACTCTGATCACTACCCCATCCAACTGAAAAATAGCAAAAAGTAGAAATAATAATTGGTTAATAAAAATAAATCTGATGTAAATAAATTATTAGCATAATCTAATACAGTTGAATTCAGCATTAACATACTGGATCAAAAAGACTTAAATAAAAATTACATGACAACTTAGAGAGGCTTGCTGTAGGACTTATACCGTAATGTAATTAAATTATTAGCATGTATAATAACAATTTTGTACTGTATAATTATCTTTTATATTTCTTTCAGGACACAAATGGATTTAAACATTGGATCTGTCAATACTAAATTTACAATGTAATACAGTAAATGTGAATTGAACGTGAAAACTAGGCCTACAATGTAGGCCTATATATATATATATATGGATATATATATGTATATATAT